ACACGGGTGACTAACACCCACTCAGCTACACGGGTGACTAACACCCACTCAGCTACACGGGTGACTGACACCCACTCAGCTACCAGGGTGACTAACACCCACTTAGCTACTCGGGTGACTAACACCCACTCAGCTATACTGACACGGGCTCTTACGCCCCGTAGCCTTCCGGGACACACCCAGCCGGGGTGCCCGTCTCGGCTCTGGGTACCACCGTCCCGACCCACACGGGCGTCGGACTACGGGTCCCCCAGTCTCGGCTCCGAGCCACACAGGGCCCCGGTCCTCACAAGGACGGCGGGACTAGGGGTCTCGGGCCACTACCTCCTCCACCCCGTCTTCGGTCTTCAACTGGTTAACACTGACCACGAGTGCTCTCGCGCGTCTCCCTTTATACCCCTCCTGCGGACGTCGCTGAGAGCACCCATCTTATTGACCAATCAGTGCGCGCGCTGGCTACGATCCTCTTTTCCCAGCTTGTGTCAGCGCGCCTTACCACCCGCGCGCGCGTCCATACCACGCCCACATCGCGTGCCCAACCCCGCGCCCCGTGATCCATCACTGTCGACGCACGTCAATACCACCACTACACAGGTGACAGTGGCTTAGAGAGGCCTTCATCCAGCAGTGAATAGATCGTGGCTGATGATGATGAAACGGATCAGCCCAGGTTTCGCTGTTGTCAGAGCACTTGGCTCACAAAGTCATGAGTTCAAGGACCCGGTCAAGGGGGCAACACAGCCCATCATCATCATCGTCGTCGTTAGCCCCACTTTGTATTCAGTTAACAGTGATGCCTCGATGGATAAACTGCCTCCGCCATGGGAATGTGGAATTTGCACTGCAGGGAGACACGATGCATGCTGCCATGCCTCAAACATCCCGGCATCTTTGTCTTATAGAAGTGAAATTATCGTATTCATCTCAGGAGTTATACAATCACAGAAGTGACAATTATCGTTATGATTAAAGCAGTGTCATCATCATCATCTCATTAGGAGTAACAATTATCAATATCATCATCACCCAAGTGATGATATCATCACCATTACAATCAAGTTGGATTGACACTGTAATTATCATCATCGTGATCTCATCGAAGTGAAAATCATCGCATAGGAGTGATGCAGCATCCCATAGACGCAACGCAATCATCATCATCATCTATATCATCATCATCTACGTCATTTCAGGATATGTAAATTTTGTTTGATCAAGTCAATGGCGTGCCCGTCATCATCATTGGCACATTCATTGCCATTGTTATCTTAGAGGAGGGACACAGTTATCATGATCATCATCACCCCAACTGCGCACGGCTCGCCGATGATGATCCATACATTTACAAATCGTTCCCCTCTTGCCATCACTGTTACTGCAGGACCGAGCACACAAATATTGACCCGAATAGTTGCCGTGAAACATCAATCGTCCTTTGCACTTCGACCGACGCATTCTATAATAATTGTAAATGCGGATTTTAAAAAAACCCAATAATCTCCATCGCTATGTCGATCCACTGATGGGGGAAGGCCTCCCCACGCCGTGTCGGCCATGTGGACCGTTTGATCATACTTCACCAGGCTGGTGGTGATCATACTTCACCACGCTGGTCACTGTGGTGAAGATGTTTACATGGGAGGCGCGTTGCCCAGGACTGGTTCAGGTATTCACTCGCCACTTACGGTAGCCGTGACCAGGTTTAGAACACCCTGGCCATCGAGTTAAGCGTCAGGTTATTTAGCAAATGGCATCTCACCAGACGCATCATGCACCGAGCACACACTCGCATGTGCGTACTCGCACACTATCACACGTGCACATAGCACATGCCCCAACAGTCTGTACAAAAACCACTCAAGCATACACACACACAGCTCCATCACACACACACACTCACTCTTACACACACACACACATTCACTCTTACACACACACACATTCACTCTTACACACACACACATTCACTCTTACACACACACACTCACTCTTACACACACACACATTCACTCTTACACACACACAACAACAACAACCGCCATTCGCCACTAAGTGTCGGTGACGTCACCACGACGCTTGTGCCAGGCCATGTGCACCTTGAGGCTACCACGTGAAGTGTCGAACGCCCGCTGGCAGGTCACACACACACACATTCACTCTTACACTTACACACACACTCTTACACGCACACACACACACTCACTCTTACACGCACACACACACACTCACTCTTACACGCACACACACACACTCACTCTTACACGCACACACACACACTCACTCTTACACACACACACTCACTCTTACCACCACATATTCACTCTCACACACACTAAGTCATGCTCTCAGACACACAAAACACATTCCCCATATAGCATTCAACAAAATGTTGGAGCAAGTGCTGTTAGCGAGCACCCATTCAGACCGTCATTGCACACGAGAGGGGTGGGGGGGTGTTGGCAAGCATCACCCTCGGCCGTCTTTGTCTCTCCCCAGTGCCCATCCTCGCTCATTCCACACAGCGGCGAGTACTCGTTAAAAGCCGACGAGCACGCACACGCACGCGCGGGGTCTGTCCAGGAGTCTCCAACTCGGGTCGAGGCTCAGTTGCGATACTAACTAACGAACTTGCCACCGCCACACACACACAGACACACACACAGCAGCACACACAGACACACACACAGTACTACACCACACACAGCACTACCCCACACACAGCACCACACACACACACAGCACTACGCCACACACACACACAGCACTACGCCACACACACCCACACAGCACTACGCCACACACACCCACACAGCACTACGCCACACACACCCACACAGCACTACGCCACACACACACACACAGCACTACGCCACACACACACACACAGCACTACGCCACACACACACACACAGCACCACACACACACACACACAGCACCACACACACACACACACAGCACCACACACACACACAGCACCACACACACACACAGCACCACACACACACAGCACTACACCACACACACAGCACTACACCACACACACAGCACTACCACACACACACAGAACCACACACACACAGCACTACGCCACACACACACAGCACTACGCCACACACACACAGCACTACGCCACACACACAGCACTACGCCACACACACACACAGCACCACGCCACACACAGCACTACGCCACACACAGCACTACGCCACACACACACACAGCACTACGCCACACACACACACAGCACCACGCCACACACACACACACAGCACCACGCCACACACACAGCACCACACACACAGCACACCACACACAGCACCACACACACAGCACCACACAGAACCACACACACACAGCACACCACACACACTCACACACACACACTCACACACACCAGCACCACACACACTCACACACACCAGCACCACACACACAGCACCACACAGAACCACACACACACACACAGCACCACACACACACACAGCACTACACCACACACACAGCACTACACCACACACACAGCACTACCCCACACACAGCACTACCCCACACACACACAGCACCACACACACACAGCACTACGCCACACACACACAGCACTACGCCACACACACACACAGCACTACGCCACACACACACACAGCACTACGCCACACACACACACAGCACCACGCCACACACAGCACTACGCCACACACAGCACTACGCCACACACACACACAGCACTACGCCACACACACAGCACTACGCCACACACACAGCACCACACACACAGCACACCACACACAGCACCACACAGAACCACACACACACAGCACACCACACACACTCACACACACACTCACACACACAGAACCACTCACACTCACACACACAGAACCACTCACACTCACACACACAGCACCACACACACACACCCAGCACCACACACACACACACACCACCACACACACACACACACCACCACACACACACCACCACACACACAGCACCACACACACAGCACCACACACACAGCACCACACACACAGCAACACACACAGCAACACACACAGCAACACACACAGCACCACACACACAGCACCACACACAGCACCACACACACAGCACCACACACACAGCACCACACACACAGCACCACACACACAAGCACCACACACACACAGCACCACACACACAGCACCACACACACAGCACCACACACACAGCACCACACACACAGCACCACACACACAGCACCACACACACAGCACCACACACACAGCACCACACACACAGCACCACACACACACCACACACACAGCACCACACAAACACACACACAGAGCACCACACAAACACACACACAGAGCACCACACAAACACACACACAGAGCACCACACAAACACACACACAGAGCACCACACAAACACACACACAGAGCACCACACAAACACACACACAGAGCACCACACACACACACAGAGCACCACACACACACAGAGCACCACCAACACACACACAGAGCACCACCATACACACACACAGAGCACCACCATACACACACACAGAGCACCACCATACACACACACAGAGCACCACCATACACACACACAGAGCACCACCAAACACACACACAGAGCACCACCATACACACACACAGAGCACCACCATACACACACACAGAGCACCACCATACACACACACAGAGCACCACCATACACACACACAGAGCACCACCATACACACACACAGAGCACCACCATACACACACACAGAGCACCACCATACACACACACAGAGCACCACCATACACACACACAGAGCACCACCACACACAGCACCACACACCACCACACACCACCACACACACACACAGCACCACACACAACACCACACACACACACACAGCACCACACACACACAGCACACCACACACACACAGCATACCACACAGCACACCACACACACACAGCACCACACAGCACCACACAGAACCACATTCTCGCCGTCACTCACCCGGGGCCACGAGTCGCTTGGGCTGGAGGCGACTCTGCTGCCCTTCGGACCACAGAGAGAACGGGGGGGGGGCTAGGGGGGGATGTATGGACGAGGGGGGATGGATGTATGGATAAGGAGTGATGGATGTATGGATGATGAGGGATGTATGGACGAGGGAGATGGATGGAAGAGGAGGGAGGGATGGATGGAAGAGGAGGGAGGGATGGATGGATGTATGGACGAGGGGGATGGATGGAAGAGGGGGATGTATGGACGAGGGGGGATGGATGTATGGAGGAGTGATGGATGTATGGAGGATGGGGGATGTATGGATGGACGAGGGGCTGGATGGACGAGGGACGATTGGAAGAGGAGGGATGTATGGAGGATGAGGGATGTATGGATGGACGAGGGGTTCCTTGTGCCTGCGTCGCTCGCTCGCTACGTGGCAGATGTTGGGGAGAGCGTCTGGACTCCAGCTGAGGAAGCGGAGGGGAGGGGAGAGGAAAGCTGGAGCTTGGGAGGCAGAGAAATGGGTTGGATTTTACTTTGGATAGAAAAATGTGCCGTTTCCTGTGCTTGGTCTAGTGGTGGTGGTGGGGGAGGAGGAGAGGGAGGGAGGGAATGGACGTCCAGGATTGGGAAAGTGTTTTCAGGCTCACAGCGCTGGTGGAGCTGGCGCGGTTTAAAGTTTGGAGTCAACAGTTTTTTTTATATAATAATAATCCTTTCTTCCTCCTCCTCCATCCCCCCCCCCACTTTCTTAAATTTGCTTTGTTGACTCTGCACTGTGTGCGTGGAAGGCTTCTCACCCAACACATTTGCAAACTTTTCAATTAAGGGTCGTTAAACCTGTTTTTTTTTCAATCTCCCTCAATCAGCCGGTAACAGCAATTGGGCCACAAGCAGAAAAAAAACCGGTTACCGGTTTTCATCACGCGCAAAAGTAGAATGCGTCGTGAATGATCGTGGAGTGATTAGCGCAACGCTGCGCTACGAACCTGGCCACCCGGGTTCGATTCCCGCTCACGGCCAACACCGGTGACGGATTATCTGAACCGGTCCTGGGCCCTCCCCTAGGTCGGCTCAGCCTCAAATGAGTAACCCGGTGCGGTGTGTAAACATCGCCACTGGGGATACAAAGGCGGCCGGGCGTGGTGCTGGCCACCCACCCCCTCGTGTACCAGTGCCGGCCTTCATAGGTGCTCGCAAACAGCACTTGCCCCTACAGTCTGTTACAGGCTACACGGGGGATCTTTGTCTTTGTTATCTTGTACCGCGGTTGATGGCTGAAGTTCGGCACGCTCGATCTGACCACGGGCATCTTCAGAGAGAACGGCGTGAGCCACACTTTACTCCATCGATAACTGCACACGTCCAAGACGTGACATGACTGCCACTGCTGCTGGGACAGACGCAGTGTCAATCGAGAAATCCGCCACGATTGTAATTACAACCGCGCCGCGCCTGGAGATCGAACCGAATGCAGTGCTGCCCCGAGCACGAAGCAATCACGGCACGTTGGACAGAGTCTTGCGTTTTATTGCTTCATACGTTTCTAATTGTGCGGGGTGGGTGGGAGGGGGGGCTGTTATCGGGGTTTTTAAAACCGGTTCGTTTCGTGCGGTCTCCACTTATAAGATCACAAGCCCCATCGCAACAACTCTGCCCACCGCTGTTAGAGGCCATCCACTGAGTAGGTGACGCAAACATCTGTCGAAACGTAACCCCTCCCTCCCTCCCTGTACGCACGCGGACTTCTTACCCCCCCTCCCCCCCACTTGCGTACGAACGCCTGACGCACCCCCCCTGAATCCTATAGAACGACCGATATTTAATCCACGTAGAAACGATCAAGGATTAATAATATTAACGTGTTTTAGCAAACAGATAGTCCACCGCCGGACTATCTAACTCATTTGAAGGCCAATGTCGACAAATTATTGTCGAGGCTTCACCCCCCCCCCCCGTTTCCTATTCGTACATTGTCAGTAGACCCCCCATACACAAGCGGTACGCGTTTGGGTTAACCCCCGCCACTCCCCTAAATGGATGGCCCCTTAAGTCGTGGCCGGGGATCAAACCGGGCCGCTGGAGGTTGTAGGACCGCCGTACCCACGTCGCGCTCGCCATCATAACCATAGCGTGGGAATGTGATAGAAAACACGATCACATTCGCATATTCAACAGTATCGACAACATCTTCTTGGTTCTTTCGGTAAAGTCACGTAGGTAGAAAAATTAAACAAAACATAATATTCATAATAAACGTTTTGTGTCGTAACCCTCCACACCCGACACGGCCAATCAGCAAAAGAAGTGTCACGTTGACAAAAGACAAATAGTTCACTACTTTAGCCCACCGGTGTGTTGAAGCGTGAAACCACAACATTTACAATTTTTGAGTACGACGTTTCGCTGATAATTGAATCCAGCATCATCGGGCAATTCGCCTGAATGGCGAGGCTCTGCTATGGGGGTGAGTGGGGTGGGGGTGAGTGGGGTGGGGGTGAGTGGGGGGTGAGGGTGAGTGCTAGGTGAGTGGGAGGTGGGGTGGGGGTGAGTGGGGTGAGGGTGAGTGGGAGGTGAGGGTGAGTGGGGTGGGGGTGAGTGGGGGGTGAGGGTGAGTGGGGGGTGAGGGTGAGTGCTGGGTGAGTGGGAGGTGGGGTGGGGGTGAGGGTGAGTGGGAGGTGAGGGTGAGTGGGGTGGGGGTGAGTGGGGGGTGAGGGTGAGTGGGGGGTGAGGGTGAGTGGGGGGTGAGGGTGAGTGCTGGGTGAGTGGGAGGTGGGGTGGGGGTGAGTGGGGTGAGGGTGAGTGTGAGGTGAGGGTGAGTGGGAGGTGGGGTGGTGAGGGTGATTGGGGTGAAGGTGAGTGGGGGGTGAGTGGGAGGTGAGGGTGAGTGCTGGGTGAGTGGGAGGTGGGGTGGTGGGGGTGAGTGGGGTGCTGTTGACGCAGTGTTTTGTGATCCGTGGACTGTCGTGTTGCACGTGGAGGCATCTGCCAAACTGCTTGCGGCTTGCTGATGCTCTCCAGATCTCCTCTGGTTGAGAAAAACAAAGTTGCAATTTTCTTTTGAAGTCCTCCTCATCATCCAGTAGCCTGCATATGTTGAGGAATTGCAAGTTAAAACATTGGACCACTCATTGATATGCAAAAATATGCAAATGTTTTCTCTAACCCCCTCCCTCTCTCTGCCTCCTCCCCCCTCTGTCTATTTAAGGCCACCCCACAGAGATGATCACCCCTCTCTGGTTCCTGTGTTGCTCCCTCTATGTATCTTGGTGATATCTGTCTGCTAATATGTCTGTCTATAGTTTTCTGGTTAGATTTTATGTCGCTATTTCATTATACCTGATGATGATTGCTTGTGTTGCAATCGAAACGTCGTATGCTATTATTTAATTTAATTTATTATTTTATCTTTAGACGTGACTTAACCGAAAGAACCAAATAATAATTAAAACATTGTGTTTGTCGTCTGTTGGTTTATCGTGAACCCGATCACCGCCAGACAGCATCGATTTACTTTTGTTGAACCTTGAGATGTCAAAATCCCGAAATTGTCCAACAGAGGGCATCGACTTTACAGTCATACTGTGGGTAAGACGTCCACGACTTTGCAATCGTTCCAATGAGTGTGGGGTTCACCCTATCGGTCGTGTTTTTTTTATTATCCAGCAAGGCAACAATAACAATCAAGAGTTGTTATTCTGTGACTGATGTCGTCATGTTTAAGGATGGGACGTTGACAATAACGTACCTCTTTCTCTCTCTCTCTTTCTCTATTTTTTTACGATCAGAGGAAATGAGAAGATGTTCGGTGTAGTCGGCACTTTTCTTCGTTCATCATTTAGCTTTTTTGTTGTTTTTTTAATGCTTTGCTTTATGTTAACCCGCCCCCCCACCCCTTTTTTAATGAAAAATTTCACAAAAAATGTCACGTTCTGCTCTCCTTACCCCTTCCCTCTCTCTCCCTACTCCATGTCTAGGTTCCCCCTGTTTTCTATGTAATTTTTGTAATGTTATTAATATTAAAAATAAATATTGATATTTCTTATATATTTTTTTTTACGACAACAAGTGCTGCATCTGCACCCAGCCCTTCTCGCAGTCCTACGGCCTCCGACGAGTAGCTCATATCTGCACGCAGAGCTCCCCGTCATCTGCCACCGAGCACACAGCCTTCTCCAGCGCCCACTGCTCCTTGAAGGCCGGGCTGACGCCGATATAGAAGCCAGGGGCGCAACTACGGGGGGAATCAACAAGACAAACAAGTAACAACATGTGAAGAAAGTCTATTTTTAAACAAAAACATTCCAACAATTAACCATAAATGGCACGAACAAAAAAATATTATTGCAAATGCAAAAAAATAATGTTTCCGAGAAATGCACAGCGTAAAATCAAGGCTCCGCTCCTGCTGATGTTATTTTTTGTTACTGAACACAAGGCTTGTTTTACTCTCCGCCACGCTAAGGGGCCGTCCATAAATGACGTCACGCAAATATGATGTCATAAAGCTTTGCCTTCCCCCCCCAAAAAAACATGCTTCTAATCGCTTTAAACTATTGTCATTGTAGCGCGTATTTAATATGGCGCTGCACTCTGATGTTGTAGAAGAAAACATTTGTTAAAACGTCTATTTAATTAAGTAGAACGTTTTGTCTATATTTATTTAAATAAATATATTGTGACGTCTCATTTCTCAACCCCCCCCCCCCCTCTTCGTCACACATCGTCACAAATGTCTGACCCCTCCCCTAGGTGCGTGACGTCATTTATGGACGGCCCCTAATGAAATCAAGACGAGTGATAACTGAATTGTGAGTATTGTACCTTTAACTATTTTCTATTAAACCTGCCACTCTGACAATACACGGGGCAACTAAAACGATATATAAAATAATACAATGAAAATAACTTAATTTATTATCATTTATTTATTTATATTTTTCATCTACTTGACTTTACCGAAAGAACCAAAGAGTATGGATCCTTGCAGTCACAACAACTTCAAATCTACAATTGTCCATGGTTATAGCCGACGTATTATTGTATACCGGGTTGAAAAAAAACATCCCGTAGCTATTTCACTAAGAGTGAGTCGGGATAAATGAGGGGCGGGGGGGACCCACAATCGTGTCTTGAAATAAATATGTCGTTGCGCGCATATGTGGAGCAACAGATATTATGTTACATTGAGGTGGTGGTGGTGGTTGAGCCAGATGATTGCGTCACCTGTTTGATTGCCAGAAAGTGTAAAATTTTATTGTTATAATTTTGATTTTGGCAAGGGAGGTCCCATGATGTAGCTGCTCACCCCAAACGCTCAATGTCCTGATAGTGGCATTGTCGTTGTGCTGTTCGCCTTTTGGCGTCCTCTGATCCAACACCGTTTGAGACAAGGTTCTCAAGAAAGCTGCCTCTGGTGTGGACCAATCAGCTTCAAAGACAATGCAATATATACTATCAGAGCATGTTTTTTGTTTGTTTTCATGCTCACCACAAGTATATGTGGTTAATGCAGACATGATTCCTTGTGAAGTACTCTTGAAGACGCTTGGACACCGTAGTAAGGCACACGTATTTATTTACACAATGTCGTACAGCACTGGAGGGGTGTATCGGCCCCCTCACCCGT